GCCGAGGTAGGGATTCTTGGGATTGGGGTGCTGGCGGAGGGGATGCTCAGGATCAGGATGCTCCAAGCCAAGGTGTTTGGAGCAGGGCTGTTCAGTGCAGAGATGCTCAGGGTCAGGATGCTCAGAGCCAGGATATTCAGCACAGGGGGACAACCAAGCAATGTCCCAGTGGATAATCCCACTGGAGCAGCTATTGGGAAGCAGCTGCTGTGCCCAAGCCACAGTGTGTGATCCCAGCCCAGCAGGGAGCCCAGCTGGGATCCACCAGTTGGCACAGGCAGGGGAAAGTCTTGGCACAGCACAGAGGGAGGGCAGGAAAGGAGTCGGGCTCTTGAAAGGGAAAAGGAGGGGGGGAAAAAAACCCAAAACCAACAAAAACCCAACAAACCACGGCTCTATTTTGGGTTCCTGGCGTGTTTTTTTTTCCCCAAACACAGCTGGCTCCTCTCGTGCTGGCACTCGGCTACCAGATTGGAGCTGGGGCAAAACCAAATCACTGGCTGCAGGGAGAGGGGACTGAGCCAGCCCTGGGAAGGGGAAGGAAGGAGGGGCTGGGGAGGAAGGAGAAAGGGAAGAGGAAGTAGGGGAGGAAGTGGAAAGGGAAGAAAAAGGAGAAGGGAAAAGAAAGAAGGCAAAAGGGAAGAAAAGGGAAAGGGAAGAAAAGGGAAAGGGAAGAAAAGGGAAAGGGAAGAAAGGGAAAGGGGGGAAGAGGAAAGGGGGGAAGAGGAAAGGGGGGAAGGGGAAAGGGGGAAAGGGGGAAAGGGGGAAGGAAAGGGTAAAAACAGGGTATGGGGGGAGATGGAGACAGGGAAAGGAATGGGGAAGAGGAAAATGAGGAAGGGGAAGAAGAGGATGGGAAGAAGTGGGGAGAAAGGGGAAGGAAAAAGGCTATGGGGAAAAAGGGGAAGAAGAGGAAGATGGGGAGGAAGGGAAAGGAAGAAGAGGAAGAAGTTGAAGAGGGGGAAGAAGGAGAAGAAGGGGACAGGGTTGGGAAAGAAAAAGGACCCAGCTGGGAAGGGAGAAGAGCGTGGGTGGCAGAAGGCCCCGGGCCTCGCCTCACCTCTCGCCCCGCGGCGTTTGCTGTCCCGGCCCAACCGCCCCCGCAGGGCCGGGCCCCAGCTCACAGCCCTGCTGCCAGCGTCCCCCACGGGACGGGGCTGTTCCCTCCCAACCCCCCCACGGGGACATTCCCACCATTGCTGACTGCTTTGCATGGCAAACTAGGGGGAAAAGCCATTTTCTTGGGCAGCAAGGAGGAAAGCCACACGCACCATGCACTAACCAAACTGTACCCCCTGCTCAAGGCTCTGCCACCCTGGCTTGAGCTGGGGGGTGGGGGGATGTCCTGAAGCCCCCTGGCCCTCAGGTGCAAGTGGGGGATGTGCCCCCAGCACCCATGGGTGCTCAGCTCCCTCCAGCCCATCCCCATACTGTCATACCTGGGGGTATCCCAGTGTCCCGGTGTGTCCCCCCAGCCACAGGGGCTCCTCGTGCCACCGCCGCCGAGCCACACAGCCCAA